ATCACTGGGGCTCGTCTTCCCAGTGTGTCCTGCTCCGTTGCCACTAGTTGGACTCTGTGGGCATTTTTTCAGGTGATTTGACATGTTGAATTGGTGGTCGGACCTCATCAGTGAGAGAGGCCATGCTGGTTGGCTGTTGAGCATTAGCAAATCAATGCACGAGAAGAGAACGGTTCTGGAAAGCCCCTTCATCAGCCTGTCACTGATGATTTCACCCATTTAGTGCAGTTTCTCTTAGTTTCTCATCTCTACATCCTCCTATTTTCTTCCACAACCAAAAGACCAAGGGCAGAGAACACCAGTGCCGTTTGCAACTTCTTATCAGACAGCTTGTATTTTCTCTGTCTAGCTCTTCTTTACCTTTCTGAATTGTAAATACAGATACCACCAACCTGCTGGTAGGGGGAGTCATTGCTGTCACGCAGGCGTAGAGCGTACCCAAACAAAGGTGACGTGAGGCAGTGCAACAGTCATCCTATGTCTCTGCTAGTTCTTTCATGTCAGCTTGGTGTGTCTCTGCCCCTAAGGGTGGCAATGTCAATCTGTCACTCTATTGGTTGGTCAGGTCACCACTTTGTTTTTAATATCTCAACAACTATTAGACATCATTCATGTTGCCCAGGCAAAAAAATCTTCATGATTTTGATGATTTGCCAGTTTTTCCTCCAGTACATCTAAGTTTCAACTTTTGTAAATTCGCAACATCTAATCAATGTTTTTACTTGCAGAGAAACATGCAGCTATTCAATTAAGCTCAAGAAGATATTTTAAAAACTGCATATAAGATATTAAGAATGGTGAATGATGAAATTAAAGACTTTGGCTATCTTTATTATAAACAGAGTAACTGTTTCTTGCCACAGCCTTATTGCAAATATTTGCTCAAAGGGTTACATAAACTTGCATTCTGTCTGAGGAAACAATACTACTGTAGTTGCCATTCAAGAGCTTTTTCCATTTTCCATAATGATGCCACAGCATTAAAAAGTGTTCATTGATGTGTGTTGCAATCATTCTCCACTGTGACTGGGGCAAACTGACTTCTCATACACAACCCATTTCACACTTGTATGTGTGCAGAAGGCAGAATGTGGCTCTTACAAATATGGAGTCAGATTGGATGCATGATCATTACTGATTAAAAAAAGGTGAGTGTGTGTTTTTTTCGTTCCTACCACCTACCTATAGAGAGTTACAGAAATTACAAGGCAGGCTGGAACTCAGAAGTAAATGATGATGCCAAACCTGTCCCCATGACCAACAGGTTGTTCTACTGCAACACTGGACCTGAACTGACTGGCCAAATTTAAACAAATGCTGTTTAACACTGATTTAACGTGCGTTTGACAAGGCACAGTGAACATGTCATTCAAACAAAGCCAAATACAAACAAATTGTCTGAGGTCAGAGTCTCTTTTGTCTCTCTACAGCACATGACGTCCTGCTGAGAAAGTGTCCACTGGTTATTAGACCCAGACACTGATCCATAGCAGGTTAAGTGGAAACAGACAAAGGGTATTGATTGGACTGGAAGACTGGAGCCTCAGCATCTTTACAGGGATCATGCCTGGTTGACTTGATTTGTGAACGCTGTGCACTGATTGCTGGAGGATATGCACCGCTGTTATTCTCCTTTACTCTGTGAACATTGTATTTTTATGTTACTGCATGTTATTCTTGTGAGAGTGGAATGAAACTTAATCACCAAACCTGATGTAAACCATGTACGTTTACTGCTTGGTATTTCACTCTTCTTAATTAAATAGAAAAAACTTTATTGGGTTGTTAATGTGTTTAATGAGACTGAAGGTAAAGATAATCACAGTATAACAATGCTTTGGGAGTCCCGAGTGGTGAGGAAGGGCAGGGCAGTCACATCCGCCTTATAGTGAATATGAGTTGTTACCATCAGGATGAAGGTGCAAGGTACTGCCACTGGAGCCTGCCAGTACTCAGAGGTCCTTCATCCCCTCCAGTTTACCTCTGTGAAAGAAATTCTTGGTGTCACTTTTTAATTGTGAGTGTGATATTGTCTGATGTCTGTCTTTAATTGTAATGTTCTTGTCTGTCAGTGGCCATAAATAAAAAATAATTGAATTTTAGAAAGGACAATAATCTAACTTGATTATTCATTGCTGTTAAGTGTGGACACCTGCTGTAAGTCCATAGTTTAGGTATGAGGAAAAGCTCCTTTGTAGTCTAGGCCCTGTTTTTTGCAGGTATACTAGCACCTTGACTGCATTTTCTCACCCATCTGTGGTAGCTGGATAAATTTAAAGCAAAAAAAGAAAAACTGATTTTGTTTACCTATGTACAGTCTTGACTAACTTGACTTTTTGTATGTTTCTATCTAACTTCATTCTTCAAACTCAGAGTGAAGAGCTAAATATATTGCTTGCCTCAGGAGGCCAGTGAACCCCGTTGACTTCTCACTTAATTGCTTTGCTAAATCTTGTCATGTGAGTGAATCACACTGTCGCTGCAGTTGCCTGGCAGCAGAAGAAGGCACCCAAGAGTCTCGTGGGATGATTTGCTGCAGTGCACGAATACAGGCTGAAATCATCCTGCTGTGAGTTGTTATCCCACATAAAGTTTGAATACAGTGAATTGTTGTTTGAATCTTTCACAGTTTTTTTTTTCTTTCTTATATTTTTCACTTTTGATTTGAAAATGCAACCCTTTAAGTGTTCTGGTTGTCTCTGCGATTAAGCCAAACTTTCCTGTTTCACTGCCTTTGATGGCCTTTGGTTAACTCAGTGAAGCAGACAGAAAACACCCCAACTCATCATAATCATGCCTACTCAAGCTGACAACAGCAGATGAGGTAAACCTTTGATTCTTTCTTTGTTCTTCATTGTCAGTGCAGACAAAGGTGCATCCAATAAGCTACAGCACAGCTTTCCTCACAAGCTGGGAGAAGCATCGAAGCCAATTTGAGGCCAAGTCAATCAACACAGTAGCAGAGGGAGAGCTGGGCTGTTGTTGATAATCTCCCCAGAGAACATGCTCTATCACGCCTTTGGTTCATTAACTCTCCAACCAATTGTAGTCCAGGCCTCAAAGTTCTGCTTGTCTGTGTTGATCTGTTCTCATTAAAGCCAAAGGATCCCTGACAAAGGTACCCCTCATAGACCCCCAACAACCTGTCTCATCCACAGCAAGACAAGCTGTGTCACCCTATTGTCAGCCACACAATGAGAACCACAATGTCACAACATATTATGTACTCCAGGAAAGGCCTTGCTACAAGAAAAAAATATGTTAAAGTGGGATTTCAATTAAGGGCTGCATCTAAAATTAACCTGAAATCTTCGAAGTGTTATTTGAAATTGCCGAGCAATGGACAAAATATTATTATCAAATGCTTCACTGCTGTTTAGGGTCATGATGCAACTTTTTGACAAAACAGTGTTACTGAAGCAGTTGAGGACTTTAATTAATAGGGGTGGCAGCATGGTGATGTGGTGGTTAGCGCTGTTGCCTCAGAGGATGAAGGTTTCGGTTTCGAGCCCCTGATGCCTTTCTTTGTGGAATTTGTATGTTCTCCCTGTCCCTGCATGGGTTCTCTCCCACAGTCCAAAGACATGCAGCTTACCTTGACTGGTGGCTCTAATTGCCCATACAATTCCCAGCTGATAAACAAAGCAAAACTGACTTGTTTGTACAACAACTGGTTAACAAACACTTTAAGGTTGACTACCACACTGTACTAAAATTCTTGATAACAAACTAAGCCATGCTTTAAGAGGTGTCATACCTTTTGAAAGCTGTTTTCTGTCTAAGGCACTGATTATGAAGCACAACACAGCAGCTGATTCCTTTCACCATTAACTTCTGTTGTTGCCATATCAGTCAGTCAGTCAGTTATCAGTTTATTGCCAAATACTTGTACTAGTTCACTTCCAGCATTTCATATGTAATCTGAAATCAAGATCCAGGACTAATAACTGACAGCACAAATTTTGTCCAAGGACAGTGATGAGGGCAGATTCTCAAAGGAACCTCCTTGGACACTTGTGTACAGTGCAGAAATGCCAGATGACAATGTGACCTCCCCCCATCTGCCTCTGATAGGCACCAGAGAATAAACCACTGCATATCAATTGCACATGACAATGATGTAACACCAGACAAAGGTCAGACGTGGAAACACTACACAACTTACTAACTACTAACATGACCCCATTCAGTCATGTGTTAACCATGACTTGAATATCAGTCTGACAACATTCAGTGGTTGTTGTTTTCATAATAGACACCATTTCACTGAACACAGCTAAATTGTGTAACAGAAAGAAAAGGTCTTGAATTAGGTCTTCTGTCATGCCATAACTACTTCTGGGTCTGTTTGTCTGGGCTGCTATAAACCCACAGGAGCCATACTGACATGGCCATGTTTTCCCCATTGTCAGAAGACACTCTTTAGCATTTAATTTTCTGTAGTGGGCCTCATCACCTTTTCAGGGTACTTCTTATGGGAGTTAGCATTTTAAACCATTTTAAATTCAATTTACCAGATTTTGAAATTAGTATTAACTGATTCCCAATTCTCCTCAAGCCTGTATTTTTCTTCATGTGCCTTGCTCACTATAAATGAGGTCCACTGTGGAGTAAAAATAGGAATGCTTTCCCTATTTTACTTTACTTACTTACTTATCTAGGCCTGCCATCTGCAGGCAATTTGACATTAATGCAGATGAGTGAACTTACACCAGTGGATACTGCACTTCCTGTGCTGCTCAGGAATGATAATGATAAATAATGAGAAACGTGAAGACAATTAGGACAATGAAAGAAAGAGGCAAAGAGAAAATGGAATACTCTTTACAGTATATAAACACAATATATAAAGGTGTGACACTGAGAGAGTACTTGTATTGTTTCTAACAAGTAACACTCTCCAGTTATACCCTGCAGTAGTTTAGAATGAAAAATTTTCCCATGTTTTTGTCTTTAGTATTGCCAGATGGTGTAATAACACAAACACCTTGCTAGAGGGCGCTAGTCTCTAATTACACTCCCGGAAGTTGTAGTGTCGAGTTTGTGTTCATCTCAGCTGATTGGAAATTTAAGACATGAATGTGCTCGACGAAAAGAGTTACGTTTTGGATTTGAGTAAAGGCCAGGAGAATGTACCTGTTGTGGTTGAAAGACGTTCAGATGTGCTGACATTTCCTGAATTCCAGGTAGCGTTACATCGCTTTGCCGGTGCAGCGGAACACATTTATCGTCATCTGGTAGCTAACGTTATGCTACAGATGTTTTAACTAGCTAAACATTTCTAGTCTCGTTTTGGTAGTTAAGCTGTTTCAGTGAGACCGTTGGAGGTTTTTGTTATTTACTTGTATACAATCTAAGCTACAATGTTTATGAAGCTGATAAAATACCAATTGCACAGCTGTTACATAAATATCTGAATGTGTTCATAGTTAAAGGATAAACTGCAAAAGCCAGGTTTACTGTTCTTCTCTCTCTACTAGACCTTTATTACAAGAAACGCTTTGACTTGTCATAGCAGGAAAGGATGGCTCCGTTTGATACCAGTGTCACACACAATAATAGCCCACATAAAGTAGCTAAATTTAATTACGCCATCATCAATCTTTTTGCCCACACCTGTGGCTTCTCGTGCTGTAACATAACGTGATATGACTTTCTGTTGTGAAAATGGCTTGGTCACGTGTCTCGCATGCAGACGTGTGATTTCCTTTCCTCTGTTTGCAATAATCCGGAGAATACAGCCGCATATTACTTATGCTTGCCAACACATAGGCCTTCTGAGTCAGCCTGCTGTGTCTGATACTGCCCATGTAAGTCAGCAGTGTCGCATCCCTTTGATTCAACATGTTACTGAAGACAGCTTGACTGACATCTGATAACCTCAACATCTAATATGTAGACTAATATCTCAATTTGTCAAATTTAAATAAAAGAAAAGGAAAATATTGCGATGCTGTTTTGTATGAGACATGCTCAAACAGAAAAAGAATGCCTGTTTTAGACTGAATATTAAATGATAAGACCAGTTATTTTCTATATCAGAGGTTGTGTTGGCGATTCATTTCAGAAGCTTTATATATATATATAGTTCTTGAAATTCTCTTTTCATCCCACTGGCAATTAAATGTAAAAGCAAGCACCAGTGGCAGCAGCAGGACCGAAAAAAGCCTGACCTGTAGTTTTATTCGATCCGAGCAAAACCATCGAATGGCTTATCTGCCTGTGCACTCATTGTACAAGTCTCCCACAAGGCCAGGCAGCCAGACATGTTACCACTCTGTTTTTATAGCTAAAGCTAGCGAGCTATGGCAAAGCAGGCACCCGCAGCAGCTTTCGGTTGCAAACAGAGACCATATTCAAGAAAGTTACGACTAAAAGAAGTTAGAATTAACATTGGTGTGGTTTTTGAATGATGGCAACAATTGAGAGAACATGAGGGGTTGAAAAGAGACGCTATGGTGGCTGTAATCACTTCTATTTTGTTTGGGGGGGGGTTATTGTTAAACTATACCTTTAACAGTATTGTCAACGCTCCACATGTGGAGAAAAACTGAAATTGAATCACTTCTTCTCACAATATCTGTCAGTCTCCAGCCTGGATTATCCTATATTATTCATCTCTGTGTCACCTTCATTGTTGTTAAGCAAACAATTAAAAATACATCAGTGAAATACCCTGCTGTGCTGGGTGACATTTCTTCATTATCAAACCCCAGACCTTAGCGTGAGGAGCTACTGTACTACAAATAATACAGAGAGCTCACACAAAATCTCCCATATGTACAGTTGGCTCTGACTTGTACCAACTTCAGGAAATTATGGCTGCTTGTATGGCAGCATAGTCAGGTCTGTGTTTCATAATGAAATAAACATGTCACCCAGTGCAGCAGTGTGTTTCCCTGATGTGTTTTTAATCATTTTTGAACAACAATGGAGGTCTATGGCACAGACAAAGAAGCTAATCCAAGAGTGACAGCTGACAGACATTAACTGTGAGCAGAGGCAATTCATTGTTGGTTTTAGTCTCCGTATGGAGATTACTAAAAATATGATTAATATAGAAAATGACTGGCCTTATCCTTTAAGCATGTGCTTTCCAAAATCATTTTCAAGGCACGTCACTGCCACTTTGAAAGATAGCAGCTGTAGGGATGCCACTACAATAAAGGACTTAATTAACAGGAAGACACATGATAATAATAAAATAAAAATAAAAACTTTAAGATTTAATGTATGGTGTGTTAAAAGATTAGTCTTTCACTTAAGCTTTGTGCAAAAATAATATGGCTGGGTGAAAAACTCATCAAGCCTGGTGGTTATAAACACTACCAAATGAAATGTATTGTTTTACCAGCAGATGGCAGCAAATCATCATTGCTTACAGCCACATCAGCTGACTGCAGCACAGGGAATCAAAAAATAACTGACTCTTTAGAGCCAAAGGAGTTGTCCTACTTTACAGTCCTCGCTTGTGATGCTCTAGGAGACCTTCCTGACTGCAGCTCCTATCCAGCCGGCTCTCTCATCGGGGGCTTACCCGTGGAGGCCCAAGGACTAATACACACAATGACATATTAAGACTAGTTAAAAGAATAAATTATTAAAGGTGACGAAAATAGTGAGCTAGCTAAACATTAAAAGCTTGCTTAAAAAGATGCGTTTTTAACGCTGACTTAAAGGCTGCCAGCTCGGCTATCGAGCGTATCTCTAAGGGCAGGGAGTTCCACAGCCTAGGGCCATGCACGGCAAAGGCGCGACCTCCCCATTTTTTGTAGTGCGCAGGGGGAACAACAAGAGCAGGGTGCCCCGATGATCGCAGGGTTCTGCGAGGGACGTATCTAGCCAGGAGGTCGGATAAGTACGGAGGGGCAAGGCCGTGCATGGCCTTAAAAACATAAAGCAAGACCTTAAAATCTACTCTCCATTTAACAGGCAGCCAGTGAAGGGATAGCAGAACCGGAGTGATATGGGCATGCCGACGAGTGTTTGTCAGCAGACGGGCAGCCGCGTTCTGAACAAGCTGGAGCCTGGAGAGTGATGACTGGGATAGCCCTGAGTACAGGGCATTGCAATAGTCAAGCCGGGAAGTCACAAACGCATGAATAGCTTTCTCTAAGTCACTGCGAGAGAGAAATGGCTTCACCTTTGCTAGCAGTCTTAGCTGGTAGAAGCTGGATTTAACCACTGACTTGATCTGATTATCAAAGTTAAAATCAGCATCAAAAATTACCCCCAGATTTTTTACCGCATTCGAGAGCGGGGGGGCATATGTGCCTAGATCAACTGAACTTCCGTCCAACTTAGGGCTGATAACAATAAATTCAGATTTTCCTTCATTTAAGTGAATAATATATGCACAGTAATATCTGTATCTGTAATATGCACAGTTCCAGAATCTGGTGAAATTATAGTTGTGTGTGGTCATGTATTGGTTTAACTGAATTACAAGCTGAGGTGAGTTGCAACTAGGCAGGTGCAAACTTTTTGATCTATGCCCTTAAACCTATTTTCCAGTTTGAATTGGAATTGGTGGTCTTTTTATATCACTTAATCTATAGATTATTTTCTTGTTTAATTGCTTAGTCTATAAAACGTCAAAAACTATTTTTAAAAATACAGCCCGGTCTTGAAATGGCTTAGTTTTGTTCAGTAAGAGTGAGTGCTTTTCTATTTTTTCAGAAAAAAATGACTGAAACAATTTATCAATCATAAATAAAATGGTTTGTTCTGTTTAAAATTTCTTTCAATCGATTAGTTGATGATCACTTAATAGTTTCAGCTTGAATTTGAATATTTTCAGGAAATATTATGCAGTTTCTTTGTTTTGTTTGTTCTTTACATTGTGCTTTATGGCCGCTTTGTTGTCATTTTTCAGTATTCCCCAGATAACGTTCAGGGACCAGGATGCACCGTTGACCCCAGTGAAGTCACCCTTCCTGGATGCACCTGCATTTCCCACTCCTGCCTCACTGAGAGCTGCTCCTGTCTGCAGACCCACAGACAGACATATGACAGCACTGGCACGCTGCTGGACCTCAACAGAAGTGGCACCAGTTACTGCTCACCTGTGTTTGAGTGTAATGCTCTTTGTTCCTGCAGTGACACTTGCTCTAACCGCGTTGTCCAGAGAGGGCTTAGAACTAGGCTGCTGGTTTATAGCACCAAGAAAAGGGGCTGGGGAGTACGGACACTAGAGCCCATTGCACGTGGGACGTTTGTGTGTGAGTATGCAGGAGAGGTGATCAGCTTTGAGGAGGCCAGACACAGACAGCTTGCTCAGAGGTTTGAGGAAAATAATTACATCATTGCCATCAGGGAGTATGCAGGTACAGACTCCGTCACTGAGACATTTGTGGATCCAGCCCTGGTGGGAAACGTAGGCCGCTTTCTCAACCACTCCTGCCTGCCTAACCTCTTCATGCTGCCAGTGCGAGTGCACTCTGTGGTTCCTAGACTGGCACTGTTTGCTGGACGGGACATTGATGCACTAGAGGAGCTGACATTCGACTACTCAGGAGGATACAGAAACCAGCCTCCTGTAGAGCTGATGTCCACACAGAGTAAGGCTGCCACACAGGCCAGTAGGACAGATGGACTCCAGAGGAAAGCATGTCACTGTGGTGCTAAGAACTGCACACAGTTTCTCCCACTGGATTTATCTATTATCAGCTGATATAATAGAAACTAAAAAATTCATATTATGCTAAAGAAAAGATGTTGTGTTTTCTCCTGAATTCTAACCACATATGTAGTTGTATCATGCTCTGTTTTCAGACTGAAATCTTGGTTAAATAAAAAGCTCATTAGAACAAGACAATGCAACAAGTTGGTGGCTCCATAAACGCAATCAGCTGGATGAGTCATTACTGTTCCTGTCATTGTTTCCTGTTTAGTCCCCCTGTCTTGATGCTCTCTCCCACTCGGTGTAAGAGGATCCAATGAAAAGAAACCACAAGGCAAGAAAAACTAGTTTTATTTTTCCAAGAGAGTAAACTTGTTGATGTTCCCATCTGTTCTTTCACTTCTTAAACCCATTTCATCTGTCAGGGGTGCTTGTTCTGTATAGGACGTGTCCCAGCGGGTTTACAGTCTTGCAGTCGTCATCTTGTCCTGGCCCAGAGAAGTCCCGTTTATCACATTATGAAGAAACAGGAGAATCAGTTGCATTGACAGACATGGAACAAATGCTGTTTAATAGGTTTCTTTTAGTGATTACATATACAGCAGGTCATTGCACTCTTATAGGTGTCAAAGCTTTTTGCAAGAGAAGATATTACATCATTGCAAAAAGCAAAATTCACATACAAGGTATTAATTGTCATGTGTCTCCATCAACTTGACATTTTAATCTTCATATAATGGAGCCTCCCTTTGTAGATATTCTCAGTTTCTAATCACTCTCAAATCTCAAGAGAGGTGGGACCAATTAAAAAGGGCCAGGGGTATTTTTTAAATAGAACCCAGCTTTATTTCCTTGTCAGAGAGGTGGAGGAGTCCCACTTTAGTGTGACCGTTCTGAAATCAGGACCTTCTCAATCTGCTCCATTTCTAGTCTAGACCTGCTTTCATCTTATTAATATCCTCATCTGGGTTAATTAGGATGGAGACCGTGTTTCATCCTGAAATGGAACCAGTACTCCAGCCACACTCGGGCTGAGAGAGAGAGTATATGGTGGTGGGGTGGGGGCATGGAAGCCCTCTACTGATAGGAGACAGCTGTCACGTTGATTGGTTTCTGTGTCATCCAGCGGAGAGGCGAGTGGCACAGGATGTTATTGTATTGCCCTTTGTTTAATCATTTGTCTGGGTTATTTTGGATCCTGTCTGTTCAGAACGGGCTGCTCTCTGCACCTGATGAGACTTACAGTTGGGATTTGAAAAAGAAGTTAGAGGAATAATTTGGCATTTTGGGAAATATACAGACAGTATGCACATTCTACCTAACAAACACTTCTATAGGTAACTAATAATGTGTTTAATCAAAAACCAAAGCTAAGCCCAATGGCAGCCAGTTATAGCTTCATATTTAACACAGAGATACTGTATAGTCCTGTGGGGGAAAGTGGATGGATGCTGCCTGTCGATGGCCTGAAGAAAAGTAGGACAGATTTTACGGAGAGGAAAAACAGGTATTTCTCATAACAAAAGATAGAAATGTAGAAAGTTCTGGGTCAAGGTTTCTCTTTCCATCAGGCACTGTATATAATGTGTGCTATATTCTGGTATTTTACCTCTGCTACCAGTGCATTCTACTTCAAATTTAAAAACAGGAAGCCATTTGATTTGTGGCTCTTTTTGTTGTGTCTTTGTGATAAGTCAGATTCCACTGTCCTTTCAGTAAATTTAAGAACTGACGGCCTCTCGTCGGATGTCAAAAATGACTTGTCATTTTTGAGTCTGATCTTGCTGGGATCTCTATGGCAACCGCCTGTGTGTACAGGAGGTGCTCGAAGACAAATCCTGACTCTTGCTGGGCTGTGGATGGTCACCTAGCAACCACCAATTAATCACACGAGGTGAACTTTCCCACTAAACCCCCCTCCACAGAAAAACAAACATGTCAAAGGTGCCTTACAATGAAGGAGCCTGTTACGTCATTTTGTAATTATTTCAAGAGCAGTGTCAGACTGTGTGTGTGAATAAGTCTCTAAAGGGAAAGGGTTTTTTTCCATTTGTGTTGGAGTTATACTTGGTTATTTTGCATAGTGGCACCTTTAACATAGTAGTCCTGCACAGCTAAATGTCAGAATAACTGGAATACACAAAAATACTGTAATGTTTAAAACCAAAGTGACCAAAAGATATTTTATGATATATTCTAAAGTTAAAACAAGAGTATAAGCCTATTACAGTAGCTCTCCAGGAGACCTGCTGTTTGTTGTTCCTATTGCTTTCAGTCAGGTTGCCAAATGATCATGGCTCTAAAGCATCAGCCATGCCTATATTCAAATAATAATATAAATGGTCACAACCAGAAATTGGTTAGCATAGCTTAGCATAAAGACTAGTGACAGAGCGAAGCTATAGACTCAGTCCAGAGGTGACAAAATGTGCCTACCATCACCTCGAAAGCTCAGTAACATCTCTTTGTGTATTATTTAATTTGCTCAAACCAGAACGTAGAAGCGCTGTTGGCTTTTTACAGGCAACCAGCAACGGCTCCATAAAATTAATGCTCCCAGTGAAGAAATAATTAAACCACTGAGATATATACCAGCATGTTACGTTATTCAGCATTAGAGGTGCAGATGGATGAATTTTGTTATCTTTGGACAGGGCCAGTCTAGCTGTTTCCCTGTTTCCAGTCTTTATGCTAAGCTAAGCTAACTGGCTGCTGGCTCTGCCTCTAATGAGAAATCAAATAAACATGGGGTCTATAGTATTTCCCAAAATGTCAAACAATTCCCTTAAAGCTAAAGAGTCAAGAATAAAGGGGAAACAATGTATTATTGGCCACTTGAATTACTTGTTCTATACTGTATTCTGGCTTTAAAAAGAGATTTTGATAGGGTTTGTTGTAGTCGCACTGATTTAGGCCAGTAAGACTTATATCTTGCCAATTGTCAATAAAAGGACAAAAACACAATGAGATACACTAAACATAACGAGAGTCATGCTTCACATTGATGAAGGAGTTTAGGATGAGTGACCAGTGAAGAAATTACAACTTGCAGTCCATTAGTTCAAAAGTGGAGCACCCTCCCGAAGTGGGAGCAGATGTCCTTGCCTTGAATCCTGCAGCCAAATCAAGAAAAAAAGGCAGTTCTCTGCTGGGTCTCAGCTGGCAAACACATTTCAAAGTCCAAGTTGAAAGATTTTTTTTCCAACTTTTAACTGTGTTGCGATGTTGGCTGATAAGAGAAGAGATGCTGGTAGAAGTTGCAGTCTAATTAGTGAAATACAGACACAGAAACTAGTGTTTGTATACTATAAATAAATGAATGTACTGTTATTATTATTATTATTGTTATTAGTAGTAGTAGTAGTAGTAGTATTTAATTATATTGGCTTGTTTGTAGCAGAATCCATAAATTAGCTTCATCAAAAAGATCTCAATGCTTAAATACGGAATTTCCTGAATGTATAAAATCAGATGTTTCTTTGAATTGCGTGTATATTTTCTGAACGATCTGTTCCGGCTTCTGTTGTATTAACTACAGATTAATAGATTAAACATCTTGGAACCTAGATCAGTAAGTTGCTTAGTGGCCAGAAAATAGTTAAACTACTTCACCATCAAAGGAAAGTCTGTCGAAACAAGTGCTGAAGAGAAGAGCTGATTGTTCCTCAAAATTTCAGGATTTATAGAAATTTGTGTAACTCTTTATTCACCAACACAAGTAGTAAGTGATTTTTTTCCCACTGTCCATCTTGTCTGATTTGGTGTACAATGGGGTAGGTTGCATTTTGCAGCTTCATTTCACTGATAGAGGAAGGAGATGTCAATGGGGGGGTTTCACATTACTCCTCCCATCACAGATGTTAAGTTAAATTTGGCCCAGGACACCTGCAGCGGGTTCAGC